CCATCTGCTGGGCCCAGATTTTGTTTAGCACCGCCTGATTGACTAACCTGTAATTGTCCACCTTCCTGCAACATCCGAAGTCGTAAACGGTGGTTTGCCAACCGCACTGGCAAGATGCTGGTAGCCCAGGGGGAAAATAAAAATACGTGCCGATTCAAGGACGCTTCGCCTTGTTTTGAGCGATTTACCTGACGTCACCCGTCCATCTTGTGGTGGAAGTTAAACAGAGAGAGCGGCAATTTCCCCACTGGAAATCAAAGTTAACGCAACCCACACCCACTCTGAGCAACACAAAGTACACAATATTCTGGACGTTGGTTGCCCGGATCTCTGTCTTATCAATGCAGGGAAGGATTGTAGGTAGTCGTTCAAAGTTACGACGTTACTGAAAAAAAGGGACTGAGGACCATTTTTCACACTTAACGACCAATGCAGCATCCCCACGGTCACGTGGTCAAAATTCCAGACAGCTGGCAACTGACTCCTATTTACGACGGTCGCAGAGTGTCCCGGGGGTCACGTGATCCCCTTTTGCGACCTTCTGACCAGCAAAGTCAATGGGGGAACCCAGATTCACTTAACAGCCGGGCGACTCACTTAACAACAGCAATGATTCCCTTAACAACTGTGGGAAAGGAAGGTGATAAAATTGGGCAAGGTCTTGTTTAGCAATATAATTTTGGAGCGTAATTGGTCATAAGTCGAGAACAACCTATCTGGACCAAGGAGAACCAAGGTCAGGTCAGTCTATCCCCAACCAGGTTAGCTTAGTCCAGAGGTCTTCAAACATGGCCCTTTGATGACTTGTGGACTTCAACTCCCAGAATTCCTCAACCAGGCACTCTGGCAGAGGAATTCTGGGAGTTGAAGTCCACAAGTCATGAAGGGGCCATAGTTCCCTCATGCTGGCTGAGGAATTCTGGGAATTGAAGTCCACCAGTCAAGAAGGGGCCATAGTTCCCTCATGCTGGCTGAGGAATTCTGGGAGTTGAAGTCCGCAAGTCATGAAGGGGCCATAGTTCCCTCATGCTGGCTGAGGAATTCTGGGAATTGAAGTCCACCAGTCAAGAAGGGGCCATAGTTCCCTCATGCTGGCTGAGGAATTCTGGGAGTTGAAGTCCTCAAGTCATGAAGGGGCCATAGTTCCCCCATGCTGGCTGAGGAATTCTGGGAGTTGAAGTCCACAAGTCATGAAGGGACCATAGTTCCCTCATGCTGGCTGAGGAATTCTGGGAGTTGAAGTCCACAAGTCATGAAGGGGCCATAGTTCCCCCATGCTGGCTGAGGAATTCTGG